CTTTTACAATATTTCGCGGCGCCCCTGTAAAGAGGCCGCGGCTCCCCGGGGCGCCGCGGCGCACAGTTTGCGAATCACTGGCCTAAGGTGATGAACGAAAAATAAGTATGTAGTCGACTGTCGTAGCAAATATAACTTTGCTTCATCGACAACCCCATCAAAGAATATATGGAAAAATTCCTGGCCTTCCTTGAAATTCACATATGCCCTGTGACGCAATGGAATTAGTGGAAATGTGGCGGAGTGGTTAATGTGTCAAACTTACATGGTGTGTTGATAAGACCTAGGCAAAATCGAAGCTGCAGTCCATCCTGGATGAGAACAACTTCTGGGAAAGCAAGGCACTGCGAAATTAAATGGAAACGTCAGCTCTACTTATATCATTGTTGTAAAATTCTACTACCAATCCTTCATCACTTTAAACGAAATTGGATGAATGCATCTCATATAGTGTATAATAGACTCATGAGAGTTATATAATAAATTGTTCCATGATGTAATAGACTACTAAAGGTAGCATATAAAATCATTCTAAAATCTAAGCGCCAATTTGTTACTTAATCGAGGAAATTCATAATTAACAGGTTTTAAGGTTAACAGTAGTCACTAAAGTCATTCTAGGTCGCATAAGTTAATTTATATTTGAAAGAAGCTGAGATATGAAAAATCCAGTAATATATTGATGCTAGACGGTATTTTAAGCTAAATGAAAGGCAAACTCACATGAAAGTGATAGATGAATGATAGTTGAATTTACCTACAATTATATGAATAGACCTTACGAAGCAATCGAATTTTAAAGAGCCCTGCATTTTAGCAGATAACCTTATTCAAGATAGACTTCAATTTCGACCTCGTATAGGCCTCACAGCCCCCATGTCGATAATGTACACTGCATGATCTAAACTCGATTATCGTTGATAGTGCTGACAAGACCCAGGAGAAAACAAGCGATCCATTTCAGGCAGGAATAACTTTTAGGAGACAGAGCCAAGTGAAATTCGATGCTATCGAGAAGCTTGCTTACACTATTATTATAAAAATTAGGTATTAGTCAATCCTTCATCATCTTGTGCAACTAGGGTGACAAACTCTTATTTAGGCAGGGATATTCGTTTAGCTGACGATGTCCCATATGGTTAAAATGTTTCAAATCATGTTATCAAGGATTTCGAAGAAGCTAAAAATGTGATCAGGTAAAAGATGAGGTGAAAGAATCAACTCACTCATCCATTCGAAGGGCCTGACAGAATATATGTCGACGGAGGTTATGCTGAATATTCATCGAAGATTCATGTATCCTCGTGAGGCCTGGATGGGATTCAGCCCCTCCGCCAGTGAGGGTAGCCGTAAGGGATCTGGTTGATTCAGAGCCTGCACCGATGAGGAGGCTGGTCTCAGCCTCTGGACGAGTGATCTCAAAAGCGGGCGATAGGCGCGCTAAATCAGGCAGAAGGTCAGCCAATCGAAGTGCTTGTCGGAAGTCAAGCAGGCCAGGCCGATAGGTGGAGTGACTATTTGGAGGGAGGCAGTCCATGAGAGGTGTTTCTCCATCATCGTCTGTTGCACTATCCATATCAACCTCCTTTTCTGATGAATCGTGTCTTGAAGATAGCTCCTGTTTTTCTATACCACATTCCTCATTATTAGAGTTCCGCATGCCTTCCTCCACTGAGGGTCCATTGTTGCCAGTGCAGACCATGCCAGTGGAAGTGGACGAACGGGCTGTGGACACGTAGAGTCGAGCAAGTCTGTCAAGCTGGAGCAAGGGCTGGTGCTGTAGAGCCAATCGGTCACCAGACGTATCTCTTTGCGTGGCATTGCAATGACCAGAATCTGTCGAGATTAGTCCAGTGGGTAGTTCTTCCTGTGGGTTGTTGTTTATTTAATTGTGTATTAGTTGATTATATACATTTATATACATTTTAAAAAATAACTAAAAACATATTTAAATTGTTGGGTAGAGCTGCTAGCTAATGCTCAAGTTTCCAACAGGTAACATCGACCGATGGATAAGCTATTAGAAAATCTTAATTAAGAAGGAATTTATGGAAGTGTCTCCGAGACAATCAACATGGTTAGGTGAAGTGTAAAAATTTATTTCCTCACCTAACCATGTACCTAACCATATTGACAGTCAATCATTAAAATATCCAACGAATTAATAAAAATAGCTAAACATGAAATGTAGTAATATATGATAAACAATAGTTAGTAGTCTTTTAAGTCGTTAAGTGTGCTAGTACCTGCACCACTGATTGGGGCAACTTTAGCT